AAAAAAAAAGACTTGCAGGAGGAAAAAAAAAATCCGCCGTTACGGCCGACGCGGCTGACTGGCCGAGCGTTATCGGTGTGCGCGCAATGCGGCGGAAGGACGCGTCGAGGAGGATCTTCGCTTGCTCATCCCCCGCGCGAGCCGCCGACTCCCGTTTGGTGCCTCAGCTTTCTCGCCTCTTCTTCCTGCCAAGACTCTGGCGGCTTTTGGAAAAAAACCCGTACCTTTTCTCGGCCCGGCATCCGCAGACCGCGTGCTCTCTCACACTTTATAATAGTCTCAGGACTTTGAGTTAGTCTTTGTGAACAGATCAAGACAGAGACAGGTGTTAGGGACGGTCACAGCAGGAAGGAAGAAGCAGGCGTAGACGCGCTAGGCATTGTTCTCTACCAGCGTGACGCAGTGGCCTGGAGGCATCGTGTCTGGAGTCTGGGTTCAGAGTCCAATTCTGGGCGTGCTTCGGAAGAGTGTGCTCCTTTTCAAATCGAGCGAGCGATTATTAATATGAGCGCTTGATTTTTCTTTTCAATGCATACAAAATCTCGCCTTGCTCAACTCGGTCTGGAGCTCGACTCCACACGCTTGGCTCGGCTCCCACTGCCTCTTCCCGCGGCCTAGGTGCCGGTCTGATAGCCAGCGAGGTCCTCGGACAGAGAGTCTTGTGACATGCTACTCCTGCCTCGCACCTGTGGAGAAAGCCATCTCGCCTGGCAATGCTGTTCCTTGCGGCGCTCGCTTGCACCTCGTAGCTTCCCGCGCCGCATTACGGCCGTTGCAATGCGGGCTCCCCACCCTTGAGCAAGCTATCTTGCCACTTATCTCGGTTGCACCAGCCACGGTCGGAGAGCCACACCATGTGAGCCTTGTCTCTTGGGGACGAGCGTGGCTTCGTATCCGTTCGGAACGTCGTGTGCCGCTGTGCTCCCTATCTCAAGCCTGAGCACAGGCAAAGCCTCCGAAGCGCCTCATTGGTCGGCTGCCGTGCTCCGCCCCAATTTGTTTGCGCTGCTCCTGCACCCATTTTTTCCGCCGGTAGGAACGGCGTCCGCACCCTCCACGCTGCTCCGCTTCTGCGCTGCATGCACCACTGTCTGGCCAGCGATAAGCTCGCTGAGGTTTCCTGGATGCGACGGCGCGCAGCCCTCCTCCTCGGCAGCTCTTCTCGCGCCACCCATCAGCAAGTGAGAGACGCCTCGGTTCCTGAACCAACGACCCTTGATAGCGAGTGGCGAGCATCTCCTGCGCTGTGCTGCTCGGCGCCTCGACTCATTTGGCGAGGTGGGAAAAGGCTCAAACAAGCGACGGCCGTTTGCTGATGACTTTGGGCTGCCTCACCGCTCGAATCGCCAGCTTCTTAATTTTATATTTTAATTAATTAAATTTATTTATTCGAAATCTGGAGCGTTGTCAAAAAGTTTGTGCTTGGAAGGCTCCGGTTCAGGGCTTGTGCGACCTCTCACAACCCGGCTGCCTCCTCGCCCGGCGACCGCAATCGCTCCTGCATTCGCCTTCGCCACGCCGCTCCAGACCCGCCGTCCCTGGAGCTGCGTCCTGTTTCGAGGCCGGTACAGCCTGCCTAGTCCGGGCTTGCCTTGCCTCGACTACATTGGCATGGCCCCCCCAAATCCCTATATCATCCAACCTCTTCGCGCTCATCACCCCCCGGTGCCATCCCTACCGTGCCCCTCCCCTTCCGGCCCCGCCCCTTCCTCTCCCGGCTCTCCTATCCTCCTTTACCGCCATCATGTCGGCCGGCGCCCCCAACTCCCAGACTCCTCAGCTCGCCAAGGATGCGGCGGTTGCTGAGGAGCACGTTGCCACCAGCAACGAAGGCTCCCACCACGAGATCAACGACGAGAAGCTCGGTTACCAGGCTTCCGACCGTGACATCGAGAGCCACAACGGTCGTCCTCCCGTCGAGGCCATCGAGCCTCATCCGCAGGGCGAGCCCGGTCGTGCCAGCAAGCTCTGGCACTCCATCCGAACCCACAAGGCCACTCGCATCGCCTTCGACTTTGCCCTCATCGGCCTCATCGTAAGTCCTGCTCGGCCCTCTCCTCCGAGTCAGCCCGGCCTTTTTTCTAACGCTCTGTTGCATTGGCATCTGCTCGTTCGTCTCTAGCTCGGCTGGTGGCTTCCCGGTATCATCCGTGAGGAGACTCGCCACCGATGGGTGATCACCACCATCTGGTCGTGGTTCTTCATCCTTCTCATCCTCTTCCACAACGACCGCTACATTCCCAAGGCTCCCTTTGCCAACGCCATTGGCGCCGCTTGGACCACCGGTGTCTCCAGGCCCTGGGGCATGATCCCTCATTACGGTCAGATTGGTCTCGGCTGGCTCGCCCTTCTCGCCCTCTACTTCGGTAGCGCTTTCGGCATCAAGGAGGTTCCCGAGTCGCGCTACGGCGACCGTGCTCGCTCGCTCTTTGGTCTCTTCCTCATCAACTGCTTCTTCTACTGCATCTCGACTCGCCGCGCTGCTATCAAGCTCCAGCCCGTCATGACCGGTCTCGGTCTGCAGATGATCATTGGTCTTCTCGTTTTCAAGACGGGTGCCTTCTTCAGCGTCGCCAGGTGGCTCGCTTTCGCTGCCGCTGACCTGCTCGCCCAGGGTCAGGTGGGTGGTGCTGCCTTCTTCTGGGGCGACCTCGCCGGCCAGCACTACTTCTTCATCGACACGCTCTCGTCCATCATCTTCTTCGTGGCGCTCGTCGTGCTTCTCTCGTATCTCGGCATCATGTCGTGGGCCATCCGCAAGTTCGCCTGGTTCTTCTTCAAGCTCATGGGCATCTCCGGTGCCGAGGCCGTCGTCGCTGCCGCCTCGCCCTTCATCGGTCAGGGTGAGAACGCAGTGCTGGTGCAGAGCTTCCTCGACCTCATGACCAACGCCGAGATCTTCCAGGTGCTCACCTCGGGTTTCTCCACCATCGCCGGTTCCGTCTTCCTCGCCTACGTCCAGATGGGCGTCTCGCCCACCCACCTCATCACCGCCGCCGTCATGTCCATCCCCGCCTCGATCGCCGCCTCCAAGATGGTCGTGCCCGAGACCGAGACCCCCGTGACTGCCGGCTCGGTCAACATTCAGCTCAACGAGAAGGCCGACGCCGTCGACCCTCTGCACGCCTTCTCTAACGGTGCCTGGCTTGGTGTTCGCGTCGCTGCTCTCATCTTCTGCAACGTGCTCTGCATCGTCTCGCTCCTCTACACCGTCAACGGCCTGCTCACCTACATTGGCAACTTCTGGACCATCAACAACCTCACCCTCACCCTCATCCTCGGCTACATCCTCTACCCCTTCTGCTGGTGCATGGGTGTGCCCAAGAAGGAGCTCCTCCGTGTCTCCGAGCTCCTGGCCACCAAGATTGTCGCCAACGAGTTCGTCGCCTACGCAAACCTCGCCAAGATCAAGGTGTCGGCCAACCCCCTCAGCGACCGCTCCGTTCTTATCAGCAACTTCATGCTGGCTGGTTTCGGTAACATTGGCTCGCTCGGTATCAACATTGGTGTGCTTTCCGGTCTGGCTCCCAGCCGTGGCGGTGCCATTGCCCGTCTGGCTCCCCTCTCGCTCGCCACCGGTATCCTGGTCACTTGCTCCTCGGCCTGCATCGCAGGTATCCTTGGCACCAAGTAAAAAAAAGGAAAGGAGCGAACGGCATTCGCAACCATCCATACCCCCTACACGCGGTTGCCTAGCCTTGCTGCATCTCTTTCTCCTCTTTTGGGCGGCGCAAAAGCGATCTCCCGCCCTTGTACTTCTACTTCTTCTTGCTCGATTTGGATCTTTCTGGGTTATTTTGTTGTCCACCAACACCAATAGTAATCGGCTTCCATCTACGTCTATACCGTCAGCCTGTACCTTTGCGTTGCGCTCTCATCTGAAAGTGGAATGCTCCCGTTTGAGCTTTTGCAAGCCAATGGCGTTACTTGCGTGGCTGGAACGAGACGAAGCTGGTGTACGGCAAAGAGAGGCGATAGCTTATGTCTACGTTGTTGAGGGATTCGCCCGGTGAGGCTTGCGTGCGCGATCCGCTCGTTCCGTGTGCTGCATCGATCTGATCTGGCTACGTCCGAGTCGACGTGAACCATCGGGCGAGGCTGCACCCAGACGTGGCCTGGGGAGCTCTTCTTCCGCCTCGATATTCTGTATGTGCTGATCGCCAGAGTGTGATTGCAATTGCTCCGCAACTAGTCCGCAACTAGTCCGCAAGTATTCGCCCTTCTCGTTGTGCCTGAAGATCCTGGAGCGCGTCCTTGCGCAGCAGTGCTGCGATGTAGATACCAACGGTGCCGAGTCCGACAGCAAGGACGACAGAGGGAGCGGTGACGGCCCACCTGCGATCGGGCACGTATGCGTGTATTGCCAAGTCATCCGGCAACAACGGCTGCGTAACAGCGAAACCTCAGATCAGCTATCGCTCGGTGGCTATTCCAGGCAGGGAAGAGGTGCTTACGAGGACGATGGCCCAGAGCGTGTAGAGTGCAAACAGTGCGAGTGCTGCAAAGAGCGACAGCCCGCCAGCGGCGCGGTTTGACATGACGCCGCGACTCGTCAGGTGAATCGCATGGTGGTCAGAAAGCAGGACGCAACTGGACCCTGATCCGACACTCGCCGCCTCCACACGCCTCGGAACTCGGACCACCTTCAACCCCACCATCCTTCCCTCTCTCCACCCTTCGTCTTGTCCATCAGGTTCTTTGAGTGCGGAGTGCGGAGGCAAGCATCGGAATGCCGCCACTTCCACTGCACGACTCATACCCACCGTCGGGCTCAGGCTACCGACCACTCGCCACGGGAGATGACGACTACGAGGAGCAGGCACCCCCTCCGGACACGAGCAGGCTGCGCACGTTTGTGGTCTCGCCTTATCAGTCACCCGCCAACGATCCGAGCCAGATCCTGCGTGCCTTCCTCACCGATACTCGCACTCCAGGAGAGGCACATGCGACCAAGAACGTGGCTCTGCGTGTACGCTTCCGCTCGCGCGGCACGGAGACCACCGTCGACCTGCCCGTGAGCAGCCTGACCGAGCAGGACGCACTCCCGTTTGCGCTTGCTGACGATGTGCCGTGCCGACGCGGCATCATGCGGCGACGAGCATGGAACCAGCGCCTGCGTTGCATGGCTGACCGCTTAGCGGGAAGGAGCTCTACGTCTTCAAAGCAAATGGCACAGGAGCAGGACGAGCTGTCAGTGTGGGATAGGACTCAGGGAAAGTCACTCCCCGCGAGCGATGAAGCAAAGCAGCGCTATCATCGACGTCTCGAGACCGGACTAGTGCCGCCATGGATTCCGCTCGATGAGGACTCTGGCTCTCTGTCTCAACCACAAGCGGCACAAGAGGCAGAGAACGACGAAAATGCAGACGACAAGCTGGACCTGACGAAGCTGTTTACAGGGTCGGGCGATGTGGATCTGGGCATCTTCTTCCGGCGGTCACGGCGGCGACGAGCGACGCGACTCGTGTCCATTGCCCTACAAGAGGCACTCGAACGCTTTGCGGACGATCGTCACTTCTCCAAGCGATTCGTCTGCCGCAACACCGCCTGGGGCTGGGACCTTCCACGGCTCAAAGAGTCTCTGCGCTCACTCGCGGCGCAGGCCGCAGAAGGCAAGGGCAAAGCACCTGCCCACGCCGCCGACGAAGCGGGCGGAGCGGATGTGGATATCGAGGTGGTTGGGATGGAAGAGGGGCCGGTATATCACGTCGTCTGGGCGCCCATTGCACTCCTCGCCGCCCGCTGTCCCGGGCTGGTCGAATCGCGCGTCTCGGCAATCAGCCTCGCTCTGCTCGCCACCTTCCTCGTAGCAGCAACACTTCTGGGCGCGCTCAGCGGAATCCTGATCCTAGCAATTATGGTGGTGGTCGGAGCCTGGAGCACGATGATGTGGCTGGTAGCCACGAAGGACGAGTGCGTTTACGACGGAATCGGTACAGCATGGTCGCTCGCTCCGCGCTGGCAGACCATTGATGCCGATCCGAGCTGGGATATGCAGCGAGCTCGCGCGTCACTCCCGCCCGATAGCGCCGGCGACCAAGTGCAGCTTGAAAGGAGGGGCAATGCTTGGTGTGTCCGCCGAGGAATCGATCAGGACGAATGGGTTGCCCTCCAGCGCGATCGCATCCTACACGCCCTCACCGCCCGCACCTAGCTCCTCGCCCACGCAGCTTCTGTTCAAGTTGTATGAGATCGGCCTGTAGTGGCGTTTGTATATCAGCACCGTGCTATGGGAGTGTTGTTGACTAGTCGGCATCGTCGCCGAGTCGGCCGCCTCTGCTGAGACTGTTCCACGCTGTTTTCCGCGCTTCCCCCGCTGTTTCAAGAACACCCGACTCTGCGGTCCCTGCATCTATATCGTGTGCTTCCGGTTCGGCGTTGGGATCGTTCCAGTCGATGTACGGGCTGATGACCGAGTCCTCGGGATGCGCCTTGGCGCGCGCACCCGGTGCAAGCTGCGTCATCTCGTCCAGGATCCTTGCGAGACTCGGGTTGACCTGAGTGGATCGATCCTCTGGCTCCGTAAGTGACGGCGGATACTGTCCCGCCTGTGTCCTCTGCGGTGCTGGCGTGGGTCTTGGCCCTGGGGGCCCGAATCGCTTTGGCGGCCACACGATCCAGTCGATCTTGGATGTAATCAGGCCCATGGGAACGGGGCCGAACTCGCGCGAGTCGCGGCTCTTGTTGCGTACGCCCGCTGGCAGCCTCGCCGAGTTGGCTACTTTCTCCAGACTGCGTGGCACAATGTCAACGGCCGCGTCGCCTTCGACCCACACGTGGCCGGGCGGGATCTTGATACGAGTCCACTTTCCCGCGCTTGTCGATGCCCCGGGCGCCCATACACGCACCGTGTCTCCAGGAAGCGCAATCACACGCTTGGTCAGCAGCAGCCGCGGATCGAGGGGCGAGATGAGCGTGACGATATCGCCAGGTCGCAGCTCGTTATGCTGGTACGAGACGCTGCGGTTGAGCAGCACGACATCGGCGCGTGCATTCGCGGCAGACGCTTCGGCGTATGGTCCATTGAAGGTCGGCGACATCGATCCGCCAGTCACGTTGCCCAGACTGTAGAGATGCGAGGTGATGAATGCGGCCACGGGGATCCAGCCGAGCACAAACATCGCGCGTCGCACTTTGCCGCGCCGCGGCCGAGGTGGCTCGAACGAGAAAGGTGGCCCGCCATGTGCGCTGTGATTTGCTGAGTCCGAAGCACCAGCGTGCCCGCTCGGCGAAGATGAAGACGATGTCGATGATGATGGCGCAGCTTTGGACTCTGGCGCTGGGGTGTGGGAGTCAGAAGAAGATGTCGAGGTGGAGGAACATCGAAGCGATGCTGGCTGAACGGGTCGGAGTGTGGTCCGCAATGCTGGCAAGCACCGCACTGATGGCGCTGCGCACCGCGCCGCTGCAGCAGCCGTCAACATCCTCCTGCAGACCAAGTCGCGTTGGTGGTAGAGACGAGTCAAGTTGCAACAGCTTCCGGCCTTGGAAGTGACAAGTCGGCGCGAAGAAAATACTGCAGGTGTGGAGGGTCGCGTGTCAGAACCTCTCGCCATTTCTTCCCGCAACCCGCATTTTGATCATCTCCGGCTTACGTTGCCGTCACATACGCACACTCACATACAAGCAATGTTAGGATCACCGGCGCAAGGTGAGCTAAGTCATTCATGTGTTGCACTCTGTGTTGCACTCTAGCTGATCTCTTTGAGCCTCGCCTGGGTGTACTCGGTGAACGCGCGGTGCTCTCTCCAGATGTCGTCGATGGTGACCTCCTTCTCGCCACGCATGGCCCTTTGCCGGTTCATATTCGCCACCAGGGCCGGATCCGCAAGCTGCGGATATCGCACGAAGAACGGCAGCGTCAGCACCCAGTTGCGCTCGATGTTCATGTCACCGTCGCTGGGCGAGAGGAAGCGGATGACGTCGATCACCACATTGTGCGTTTCGAGACCGGGGTTCTGGATGAGCTTGTCGCGCAGCGGCGCATTGGGCAACAAGTCGATCGCATGGTCGTGCGGAGTCGACTGCTGCAGAGCCGTCGGCCGCAGCGACGGCGGCAAGCTATAGCTCGGGTTGAGGCTGTGGTTGTGCAGGTGGTACGAGATCTGGAGGAAGTATTCGGCCTGCTTCTCGATATCGTACCTCGTCTTGGTCTGCGAGCCGTCAGGAGAGCCGCTTGCGTTGCCTCCTGCAATGTCACCTTCGTCCCACTCGTTGGGTAGTCGCATGTACGCAATCTTGATGTGCGGATTGGTGGCTTCCTGCTGCTCGAGGAACTTAAGATCTTGTTCGTCGAGCGGGTACTGGACGGGCAGGTTGAGGAAGTTGTTGGCGCCGCGCTGGGCCCAGATCCGGTTCACCTGAGCGATCGCACGTGCGCTGCGGCGGCGTAAGTTACGGATCTGCTCTGGCGAAGCTCGAGTGCCTGAGCGCAGGACAGTCCCCTCGACACCTCCCGTAGCAGGTGAAGCAGGTGTATGGACGATCGCCGTTGTGTCGCTCTGGCCGGGCGGCGGCGGCTGCGTTGCGAAGGGTGCGGAACCAAGAGTCGAGTCAGCTGACGCTCCGACCATGGTGGGCACGCCGCCAAAGCCCAGAAAATTGAAGTTGGGCGCGGCGGTCGAAGTGTTGGGCATGGCGGAGCCGGGAGTCGGAATGATGTTGTTGAACGCCATGGCCTGTTGCGGGGAGAAGACGCTCTGGCTGTCGGTGGGGAAGAGAGAGCCCGTCATGGCAGCCAGGCCACTCATGTCTGCATTGCCACCACCGAGCAAGGTTTGGGCGAACATGGAGTCAACATCGTTGCGCATGGACAATGAGCCTCCAAACGCTGTTGGCTGCCAGAATTGACTGGGTAGAGCGGTGGGAATCTGCTGTTGCTGTTGCTGCTGCTGCTGCTG